TTATGAAAAGCAAATATAAATAAAAAATAATTAAAAAAAATAAAGAGCAGAGGTTTTAAGTCAAATAGCAAGAACTAATTCAGGAAAAAGGACTGGTAATATACACATAAACACAAATAAATAGTGTACACCTGTGAATACATGCACACACGTGTATGTGTATATAATAATAAGAAGAAGAAGAATAAGAATAAGAATAATAACTTAGATTTGTATAGAGCTTTTCAAGGTACCCAAGGTCCCTTTATAGAGTAGGAAACACAAAGTAAATAAATAAAACAAATAAATGTATACTCATATACTCATTAGAAACAATTTCATTCTCTTCACCTGGGTGATAATGTGACTTAAATATGAATCATGCAATGTGTTTAACACTCACTAGAGCGGCTGTTTAGCTACTTGTGTAAATATTACATGACTCCATTTTCATAATGAGTGTTTGCATTTTTACCTGTGGTATTTATAGTATTATTTGCATAGTTTCATAGTTTTAATGCACGAGACAGAGGCTGCATGAGAAATCTGCCCCTCCAGAGAGATTTTTTATCAGGTAATTAGCAAAGCCTCCAATGGGCTAATTTAAAATGAATGTGGCAGTTGAACTGCTCACTCATCGTATATAAGAGTCTTAATAATTCCAATAAAGAAAAGACAGAGAGAGAGAGAGAGAGAGAGAGAGAGAGAGGTGAAAGGAATCAACCCCCACCATTTCTGCGCTTTCAGCAGTTAGTGGTGGTCCATTTAAATCCTGAATATTTCATGCTTCTTCTCTTAAGAAATAGATAATAATATAATAATTCTGATGTAAAATGTATTTCAGTCTGATTAAAAAATTGATGTCCATGAAAAGAGAGAGAAAAAAGGATTCACGTTACACACACACACTCTCTCTCCATTTTACTTCCAGAGACAAAATATTTCTTTCCAATGTTTTTTCCAGCTTCCCTATTGAAACAAACATGAGCCAAATATCGATTGAGAAACAAAATCCATTTTATATCAAGAGGTTGGTCTGTGTTGCCTTTGGTAGCTATTAACCCAAGTATTGATCTGAAGCAGTTGTCTGGTGATGGGAGGAATGACTAATTGAGCCGCTCGACTCCAAACAGAGACCAGATAGACTGTCATCGGCTTTTAGCGCTTTAAAATCTCTGCTGCTGAAAACATCTTTCAAATCGAGAATCTATCTGTTTGTGATCCCAGTTGTGGAGAAACTAAGACCGCTGATTTAAAAGCAGTCAGGTTTTCTTTTTTTTTTCTTTATTGAAAGCATAATAAACTAAACCAACTGTTTGTGTATTAGACACAAAGCTATGAGGAAGGAGAAACTTTTATCACGAGGCTCAGATTCTTTATGAAATATGTGTCATATTTTCATGATTCTTTTTACCCATAAATTCTAAAGTTATGAAAGACTTTTTTAAGCACATTCAGTTTTTTGTATTTATTTTCTTACTTTTCCTAGCCTCTGCCGTTGTTTCTCTCAATATTTAGGATTCAGTTCTGACATAAAATAAGTATAAAATAAGAACTTCACTTTTATTTTTTTTAACCCAAAGTCAAAGTCACTTTTTCAAAGGTTTACTGAAATTATCTGGACAGCCCAGACCAGAGGAGAACCAATGAACGGCTTAAAAGCTTTATGAGAGCCAATATTTTTCTGCTTTTTTTCCCCCTAACTTCCCGTTTTGAAGATCTGTGCCACCATTACCTGCGTGTACAGCACCCACTCATGTTCCATTATTGCTTTTCACTTTAGTTGCCACCAAGCGTGCCGCATACCTTCACTCTGAGAAGCACTTACATACTCTACGTACAGACCATCATCTTCATCTTCCTCCTCCTCAGCAGCGCCATGGGCTGTGACGGCGTCTGGAATTGAGACGTGTGAGCTGACGTGGGCCAGTTTGCTTGTACCTGTTAATCCAGATAAGTGCTCCACTTCCTGGAAGATAATTGCTTTAAATTTTCCAGTCCTGGATGAGATTTGAGGATTTGAATATTAGCTGTGCTTTTACGTCAGAGGACCGGATGAAGCTATTTAGTTTAGCTGTTTCAGCTTTGAGAGAAACTGCTCAGAAAGAAAGAAGTAAAGAGCAAAATTAAGTAGCAGTTTGGGATCAGGTTGCTGCATCTACAACCTTTGTGAATTGTGGGGGTTTTTTTTGTTTTTTTTTTAACTATCTGTTAAATCAGTTGTTAGTTTGCAGGTGACAAGTTGCTAAGCTACGGTGGCCCTGAGAGCTCAACGCACCGCAACTTAAGAAAACACAAAAACAAAAGCAAATTCAGAAAACATCTTCATCAGTTTGACAACACATGCGCTGCAAAATATACTCACAACACAACCAAACAGAAAGACGCCCTGCAAGTAGCACAGACGACAATGGTAGTGTTCACAAGAGACACTTGTAAACTCAAAAGTCACAAAGCATTGAACAAGTGCCTTCCTTTTTTTTGTTTTTCTTTTTCTTTTTTAATATGTGTATTTCAAATTTTGGGGTGAATCTGTGGATTGAGGGGGATGATGAACCCAAAGAAAGTAGAAGTAAGTTAGTTCAAAAACAGGTACAAAAAATGTTTTTTAAGAGGTTCAGGGACGAGAAGGGGGCGTGGTGGATCCTGTAATTGTTGTATTTGTCGTCATTGATCATCAGATAAATATATTGGAGAGTAAACAGGAAATTATTTGTAATTAAGTTTTAACTTCCTCTGCTTCTTGCCAGACATGTGACATTCACTGGTTCGTTTACGGAGAATTTGTTACTTATGTCTTTTTAACACGTCTCAAAATAAAGTCAAACATGCTGGCTTTGATATGAGAATATGAGTATTTACATCATTCTTTCATGCGGCTTTTTCTCGCTGATGTTTGTTGTTTGTGTGTCAAAAAATGATTCTTATATACTGTGGCTGAGCAGGATCATTCAGCATGTTTCCGTACAGTTGTTTTTATGCAAATTGTAAGTTTGCAAAAAAGAGAATAAATAAATCTGTGGAGAACGGGTGGCAATTTGAAGAGAAAAATAGGAAAAAATGTTTTTACACTTGGCTGAGGTGGGAAAAAAAATAAAAGAAAACAAAATGTGACAAAGTGCAATAGAAAACTGACGTGTTGGGACAGTTAACTGGCTGAACAGGATCAGATCGGGCTAAACTCTGTGCCCACACACTGAGACTGCAGCCCTGTGTTATGTGAAGTGGCAGTTTGCCGACATTAATGCAGAGCCTTCTCATTCAGCTGAGGATAACACAGTCATCCCACCAAACACGCAAGCACGGAGCCACGCTAATACATGCATGCATGCTCTGATACACTGTTGCTTAGATGAATAATAACTCATGCACAAACACACACACACACACACTCACACACACACACACACACACACAAATCGAGTCATGGCTGCTTCTTAGCATGTATCATTATACAGTGAAACTGACGGGCTGTGTGGTTCTGTGTTACATTAAAATGTTATAAATAAAGATTTGTGTAAGAGGAAGACAAAAGCTTTGCGCAACTCGAATGTGATGTGTTTCAGTGGTAAATGGAAACATGGCAAAGTATTACAAATAAGAAAAACTGCAAGAAAGCAGCTGCAGTCTTTAGCTACAGAGGAGGCTTTAAACTTCGAGAGGAAAAAAAAGAAAAAGAAGCCGCAATAACCAGTCGAGTTTTCTGCCAAAACAGTTGTTTCTAACCTGGGGATATCTGTGTATTCTCTTCTCTTTGTAGTTCATATTGAGGAGAGGAAGGCCAACTATATCTGTCCCCTCTCCTCCGTCTGTCAGCCCCTCTTCTAGTCCTTCTCCCTTCACCACTTTTCTGTTTTTCTCTCTGTCTCCCTCCATTTCACTCTAAATTGAATATAGACATGAAAGGGACTCCTGGCCCCCGCCAGAGCAAGATGAGCCAAAGTAAATAAACACTAGTGTCTTTGAGGGGGGCCTCCCAGCATCACGGAACAGAAGAGAGGAACAGAGGGATAAGAAAAGAGGAGAGAGCTCAGGGAGGTCGGCGAGAGAGAGAGAGGATGCTGTCTCAGAGAACGTGTCAAAGTCACGTTTTTACTTTCATTCAACGTTTTTACCAAAGTCCCATTTGTGTTTCTCACAGACAGTTTTAGGTGACGGTTCTCTCTCTGGTGCCTCAATCATCAGTGCAAAAGATGAACAACTGTGTTGAAAATATCTGGTCCTCTCATAAAGAGTGAAAAATACAAGAAGGAGAGAATTCACCTACAACTACCTAAGTGCATTTCAGCAAGAAACATCCAATCACAGCGCTTCACGAGCAATTCTTTTGAATTTGCTAAGTCTCTGATTCACACCACTGACCTCTTCTTCTTCGGGGGAATTGTAATATTTAGACCTTTCCAGTCACGATTTTATGCATTTTTTTGTGTGTGTGAGTGTAAACGCCAGAAATTTTGAAATAAAAAAAGTTGGAATATTGCAAAAAAAGAACAGACAAAAAAAAAAACACTGATGTATATGAAGCATGGAGAGATGAAAACATCTGATCTGTGTGAAGTGACATTTACACATGAAACAAACAGAAATTTCCATCATGTTTCCCATCGTTTGACCTTTGACTGGAGCTCTTCTTAATGACCTCATCTTCTTCTGCGGAGGTTTGATGGCAGCGCCTGGAGAATCAGCTTCGCCAGCTGTTTACCTCCATCAACCAGTCAACTCATATTCATGCAGCAGCAGTGGAGGGAAAAAAGACTTCACTCATTTTACTTTGGAAAATTTGGTTAAAATTTGCTTTAAATTTGGATGGAAACTTCAACCACAACCTGCTGCTTACGATCAGAGCAGCAGCTTGCATGCTAGCTCACTGCTGTGTGTGTGTGTGGCTACACAAATGCAAACCAGTTACCATTTAACAAATGTAATGTGGGTAGCATTAAAATGTAGTTTGATTGATGTATTGACTGATTGATTGACCAAGTGACTGACTGACTGAGTGACTGTTTGTTTGTCCTCCACAGGAAGTGCTGGTACTTCAGTGACGTTCAACCGTAACGGCGACGCTCCCGGACGCTACGATCTGTTTCAGTACCAGTGGAACAACATCAGCGGGCCGGGCTACAGGGTGATCGGACAGTGGACAGAGAACCTGCAGCTCAACGTGAGTCAGACGCACAACAGCACTGCCTGTGCTGGCTGGTATGAATGGTACATGAAGTGAGGGCACAAAACACAAACTGAGTCTGGGGTGAATCCAGGTGAAAACTCCTGTTTCTTACTGATTGTACAAATTAAATTTACATGAGCCGTGAAGAAGAGTTTGTGGTGAGGATGAGGAGGGGAGCTGGAGATTGTTTTGGACTTGGCTTATTCACAATTGAATGCAACTAGAACACCACAAACAATCTCTCAGCTCATCTTCCCTGAGCATGAATAAGATTTCAACAATTTGCATCCAGCTGTTTTAATAAATCCCATTGAAATAGTGGCCACTGTTGTTACATTCACTCTGCCTGGAAATGTATTTGTATCTCGGATACACTGGAGGATTTTCAAGCCAATATACACCAGATTTGTCCGTCCTCACAATCTGACGAGGGATTCCTAATTGGAGGCTGGTTCAGGACTGATAGTCAGAGAAGATTATCTGATGGTGTGAGAGGTTCTGAGATTTATTAGGCCGTTTGATCCGGCCTGGCGCAGCGGAGCCAAATGGACCACACTAAAGGGATGTGTTCGACAACAAAAGGGAGTGAAAGCATAAATCTGATTTAGATTGTGACTTTAGAGAGGGTATTTAGCCATGCAGTCAGTCGGTCTCTGACGGACCACCACTTTCATCCCGACAGAAGTATCTCAACAACTTTTGGATTGTTTTCCAAAAAGTCTCATGGGTTCATGTTGCCCAGAAGATGAAATCTAGCGTCACCAGCAGAATCAAAAGTAAAGCAGGCGTCATACCAGACTGTTGTGGTGACTTCCGGCTCAGCTCTCCTAAAATTACCGGTTGATCTTGGAGTAGAGCCGCTGCTCCCTTGCATCCAAAGAAGCCACTTGAGGTTAGGATGCATCCTGTGGTCAACTTCCACTGGAGGTTTTCCAAGCATGTCCAACTGGTAGGAGGTCTCGGGGCAGACCCAGAACATGCTGGAGAGATTATATATCTCATCTGACCTGGGACACATCAGGATTCCTCAGGAGGAGCTGGAAAACTTTGCTGGCGAGAAGGACGTCTGGAGTACTTTGCTTGACTTGCTGCCACCATGACATGGCCTCAGATAAGCGGAAGAAAGTCAGTGGATAGATGGATGGATGGATGCCACCAGCAGGTCAAATCTTTGTACAGACATTCACGGTCCCCGGACGATGAACCCTGATAACTCTGGTGTTCCTCTGATAGTACAGCTGTAGACTCTTATGTGACGTTTGTTTCATGCATTGACAGAAATGCAAATGAAGCAGAGTGAATTCTTGTGAACTGTATAATGAGTGAACATGTTAAAACGTCTCATTATGGCTGAAGCTCAACTGACTCAAACTGGTAATTAACAAGTGCAAACTGTTAAAGAGACAACAGATCTCTGCTGTCATGAAGGTGAAGTCTGAATTACGAAGACCTGTCATTTTCTCATCCGTGGAGTAACTTATCTTAATCTTCCGTACACTCACTAATGTGTGTGTTTCATTATTCTATTCACAAGCTGGTGTCCTGAGATCGCTTTTCCTTTCTACAGACACTTTATTCTGAAGAGCAAAGTGATGTTGAATTATTAACCAGTGTTATAACAGACGCTGCTTTCTGGAAAGTTGGGTCAAGTCACAGTGTTGCTAAAACACTGTTGCTCCCGAGAATTAAATCTCACAAGCATCATTCATGACTCCGGCTCAGTGCACTGCAGGATCTGACAGGTTTGGATATGAGTGTATGTCTGATCCTTGCAAGAGTTTACACTGTGTTGAATCAGAGGTGATTATTGCTGCACCTTCAAGCCGCAAGTGTCTTTTGAGTTCCTAGTGGAAAAGGTCTTCAGGTCACAAACATGTTCACCCTGCTTATTTTCTACATTTCACCATGTATATTGTAGATGTCCATCTAATGAATGAGTGTGAATGAATAGAAATACATTATTCAGATATGAACAGATAATGAGCTGTAAACTACGGAGGCCCTGTGAGCTCAATGCACTGCAACTAAAGAAAACACATGCAAATACACAAACGTGCCGCAAACTCAGAAAACATCTTCGTCAATTTGACAACACATGCGCTGCAAATTCACACAATACAACGGAGGTGTTTCCAAGGGACATGAAAAAGGGGTGAACCTGGCTGGAACTTGTTGTTCAATGTCCAATTGTGACTTTTGAAGTTAAAAGCATTGAATAACAAGTGCATCCCATCCCAGACGGTAATTCAGATAGATAGATAGAGAGAGAGAGAGAGAGAGAGAGAGAGAGAGAATATTAATTCATCTCCCTCCTTTCTTACCCCTCTCCACAGGTACAATCAGCAGAATTCACTCTTTATAATTCGGATGTCTGATGTCTATCAATTATGAAGATCCACAAGTTCATTTAGAATTCACCATTATCTCTGCAATTAGATCGGCAAAGATCTCGGCTCGTATTCACAAGATTCAGACTCTTTCTTTCAGTATTAAAAATGATCCTTCTGATTGTCGTCTGTGTGAAAAGAAACTGCTCGCAGCCAAAGCAGCAGGACTTGATGCAATGATGCAAATGTGCCAAAGTGTAAACAAACAGGCTAAAACACTGAGCTCAAGTTGAATATTTATATACAGCTAGGTTTATCAAATATAAAGAGTTTTCTACTGCCATTTCTAATGCTGATATGTATATATGACCATATTCAACCTCTCGCCCTTATGTTTGTCTCCTGCCTATAAATATGTACACTGAATAGATAGATCTGTGAAATAAAAGCAAACACCCTAACTTGTCGTCACACATGTTGGCTAAGGTGATTATATCGAGAACTTACACTGATTTCTGATGATAAATCACAGTGTGATTCGCTGGTTCACCTGCCACTGCTGCCTTTTAACACTAAGGAAGAAAAGAGAAGTCATTTTCTATCGCGCAAGTTTAGTTTCCACACGTGTCTACGCTTGAACGGTAGAAGCCGAGTCAAAGGCAGCTTGACAAGCACACTTGTCTGTAGCTAGCTATAGCTAGTCATCCATCCGTAATCCCTGGATTATCATCAATGTGAAAATGTCCAAAGAATGCTGCTCCCATCTCTGCTTGACGAGTCCCAGCCTTTGTCAACGGGACACTGGCACAAAAATGACAGAAACTATAGATACGACAGCTGGAAGTCAAGCTAGCTTCCAGAGACAATAGCCTGCTGCTGCCACAGGGAGGCAATAAATTGCAAGATGAATGTAAAGTGGCAATATGAGATCCTTTATGGGACAGAATGCTGTTCTGAGATCAGATGTAAGGAGGGATATCGCTTCAAGATTTTGCATTAAAATGTTGATTTGCAGTTCCTTATTTCCTCTCCAGTTTCTCACAGTGCTGAAAAAATATACTGTTACATGTGGTCCACATGTCCCTCAGACGATCCCTCCTTTTCCTTCTTCTGTCCTCAGCAGGTAGAAATCAGACATGTTTTCCAACACTGTAGCTCTGGGTTTGATCTGCAGCATTCCCCTGCTTCTGCATTCAAGGCCATGTCTCTGCTTCTTCACAACACTAAATTATTCACCTCAATAGCCCCTGGTAAGCCAGATGTGGCAGAGCTGTTGCTATTAGGCCTCCCATTATTGCTTCTTTCCCTCTATCCTCATAATTCCTTTGTGTGTATTTTGTGGTGTGTGTCACTCTCCACACGTCTAAGGGGAGCTATTACCGAAAGTATATGTTCAAGCGTGACAGTCAGACCTAATATGATTTAACCAAGGTGCATGTACACTGATTTACTTAGGCAATTCAGAGATCAAGGCGCGGGAGAGTAATAAGCATATTTAGAAGATTAGTCACCTGTGTTTGAACTTGCTGCTGTTAACAGAGCCGGAGACGAAGACAAATCCTTGGCCGCGGGGGGGGCGTGTCTGCCATGTTATGTATGGATTAGTTACCTTAATGTGCCATACCGACATACATGATCTGCCCTACCTGTCCCCGTACATCACAGGTCTGGTGTGTGAATAAAGGGAGGAGAGGTACAAACCCATTCAAATGATTCCACACATGACAAGCTTATAGTCCTAGAAAACCACAGGTAGATGTTTTTTGTGAACAAAGAAAAATGAAGTCAGCCGCATTTTATTTCTGCCATTTTCTTCTTCTTCTTCTTTTGTCTGTCTTTAGTTCCCCGCTGGCACAGCTGCTTCGCCGTGGCGTAATGGGTCAATCAGAAAGTGTTTCGGTCTGATGGGGTCTCTGTCAGGGTTTATGTGGCCATAATCTGCACCGGGACAACTCGTGCACGGCACCGCAGGACCTCTCTGTTAACTTTGCAACTGAAAAACTCCTCGCGACAAATCACATTTAGCAGTATACACACATCTTGTTGGTTTTTTTTTCACTTAGACTGTGTGATTCATAGAAAAAAACGCTCCTGGTGTCAAATAATCATAGTGTTGCAGTATTTTAGACCTTATTACTTTTCTGCAGCTCCTCCATCTCTGCTCATTTACACACTGGAAATCTGCAGGAACGTGCAGAATGGATATTCACTCTACAGGTGCTGCCATAGAAAGAAATGAAAACTATATTGTGGAGAAGTTTCACTCAGGTTTTAGAGCAAAAAAAAAACTTAGCCCTCGCCAAGATGCTGGGGGTCAGATTCACTGCAGCTTTTGCAGCTGTTTACCAGGTGCAGATGTGACAACCTCTGCCCAATCGAACAGTCTCAGCAGACTGGAATCACCGCTGGCATATTCCATTTTGCTGTTAGTGTAACTAAGGTGCATCTCCCTCTTCATTGAATATACCTACATTTAAGGGTAGATCGCACAAAGAACAGGTTGAAAACGTGTTAACACTGGTTTTGCTGTGTATTCTGCTGGATTTACTGAGGTCAAGCTCTTTGCAGCAGCCAGTTTTTTGGGGAAAACTCTCGGCCTCCGAAGAGCAGGCTGTAAACAAAGTGCAACTGGGATCAACCCAAGCCAGAAGTAAGGTGGTAGTGAAG